GATACGGATAACGGATAAGGACATGGGATATCCGGATAAGCTAAACGGATATCCGGATTATCCGGATCCAAGCACTACACACAAACTACAACCAGCAACCAATCCTAGACTAATTAAATCCTAATGGTGGAAGTCGTCGAAAATACTTAGTCCGAGTAATTAGGATTGAGTCAGTATTTAATTATCGGAGGGTAACTAAATAACGAATGAAGAATTTTTTTTTGAATTTACTAGCATGATTGCTAGTGCGACATCCTCAGCCTCCTGACTATAAGAGTATTCTAATTTTGTAATACCCTTTCCATTTAAGCCACTTTAATTTAATTCAGTGGTTTACATTACCCTCCCCTCCCTCATAGAAAAAAATAATTTTGGTAAATAACATAAGGATTACGGGTCATTTCGGAAAAATTTTTATATTGAATGGAACATTTAGGAAAAAATTTTACTATGTAAACCCCTTGAAAACCCTCTCCCCTCTCTTGAAGTAGAGATGTAATGTAAACCACCGAATTAAATTGGAGTGGCATTATGGTCTCAAGGACTAGGGCGTATACTATATCGATATATGAAATGTTTTTTAGTTCGTTGATGCTCCAGAATTTCACCGAGGCGAGAGTCTTTCTTCAACCAGAATTTCACCGGAGGTATTCTTACTTGACCGGAATCTCGCTGGAAGTATTCCTTATCTGGGTTTCAGATGTCCTGGAATTTCACCAGAACAGTTCTTGTATTACTACGCGCACCCCGTTTGAGTGATTGATTACAATCGTGATCCTAGTACAATTTTTTGCAATTGGTGGCCCGGGAGTGCAACCAACACTACCGACCCGCGGGTCCGAATGAAAAATTGGAACTCAAAAAGATTTGAAATATTTGTAGTTTATACTCAAACTGAGTTATTCTTTATTAAGGGCAACTCTAGTTGCTTATATAGATAATTTCATAAGAAGAATAAAGAAAAATACAATGGATAAGTACTATCCTTTCTTCCTATAATTATTATTCTAACTATCTATAATTTTTATCAGTAGGATAATAAAGATAAAACTGATCTGAGAAATCGTGCATGGTGCTATGTCAGAACGTAGTACATACAAGATGACAAACTTGACCCTTAATGCGATGAGAAAAATTAGTCAATTATGTGCATAATTTCGCATCGTAAATCCTGGGCACCCTAATTGGAACTACCACCATTCAAACACCTTCTTTTCGCCTCTGGCAGTGCCTATGTTATTCTCATAACATAATCCAAAATCAAATTATCCATAAATACTACAAACTTCACCAGATTTTGAACAACATTCAAATACCTTCATTTCATCTATAGCCATACCTATAATCCATGACTACTTTGTCCTTGTGAATTTCCACCTTCAGAAACCATACTAATGCATTATTTCATCTCTGGTAGTGTCTATGCCATTCTCATAACAGAATCCAAAATTACATTTTCGTAAGTATTACCACCTTCAGCAAAATTTTAAAATACTTTTCTTCATCCTCTTTAGTACCAATACCACTTTCATAACAAAATCCAAGCTTATGTAGTCCATCGGAATTACCACCTTCAGCAGATTTTAAATGCCATTCTCATAACATAATCCAAGATCGCATTGCCCATAAATATTACCACCTTTAGTAGATCTTAAATACCATTCAAAATGCCTTCCTTTCATCTATAGCAGTACCTATACCATTTGCATATCATAATCCAAGATTATATTGTCTTTGTGAATTACCGCCTTCAGCAGATTTTAAGTACCATTCAAATGCCTTATTTTCGTCTCTGGTAGTGCTTATTCCATTCTCATAACATAATCCAAGATTTCTTTGTCCATAAATATCACCACCTTCAGCAGATTTTGAAAACCATTCAAATGCCTTCTTTTCGTCTCTGAATGTACCTATGCCATTCATATAATAAATTCCAAGATTACATTGTCCATGGGGATTACCGCCTTCAGCAGATTTTAGATACCATTCAAATGCCATCTTTTCGTCTCTGGCCGTGCCTATACCATTTTCATAATATAAACCAAGATTGCATTGTCCATATTTATCACCGCCCTCAGCAGATTTTAAAAACCATTTAAATGCTTTCTTTTCATCTCTGACAGTACCTATGCCATTCTCATAACAGAATCCAAGATAATATTGCCCACGGGGATTACCTCCTTTGGCAGATTTTAAATACCATTCAAACGCCTTCTTTTCGTCCCTGATAGTACCTATGCCATTCTCATAACAGAATCCCAGATTACATTGCCCGCGAGGATTACCATTTTCCGCAGATTTCAAATACCATTCAAATGCTTTCTTTTCGTCTCTGACAGTACCTATGCTATTCTCATAACATAGTCCGAGATTACATTGTCCATAAATATTATTACCTTCAGCAGATTTTGAATACCATTCAAATGCCTTCCTTTCGTCTCGGACAGTGCCTATTCCATTCTCATAACATAATCCAAGATTACATTGCCCATAAATATCACCACCTTCAGCAGATTTTAAATACCATTCAAATGCTTTCTTTTCGTTTCTGATAGTACCTATTCCATTCTTATAACAATTTCCAAGATTACATTGTCCACGGCTATTGTCACCTTCAGCAGATTTTAGATACCATTCAAACGCCTTTGTGATATTTCTTGTAGTGCCTATACCATTTTCATAACAGAATCCAAGATTACATTGTCCTTGTGAATCACCACCTTCAGCAGATTTTAAATACCATATAAATGCCTTCTTTTCATCTCTAATAGTGCCGATACCATTCTCATAACAGAATCCAAGATTACATTGCCCACAGGGATTATTACCTTCAGCGGATTTTAAATACCATTCAAATGCTTTTTTTTCGTCTCTAATAGTATCAATGCCATTCTCATAGCAGAATCCAAGATTACATTGTTCTTGTGGATTACCATCTTCAGCAGATTTCAAATACCATTCAAATGTCTTCTTTCTATCTTTAGCTATGCTTATGCTATTCTCATAATAATGTCCAAAGTTATATTGTCCATTGTAATTATCATTTTCAGCAGACGGGGTCTGTGCTCTGAAAATGACCTTACGTAATATAGTAATTACTAGTGTTGCCACTAGAAAACCACTGGAAGACCACTGGAAGGCTACTGGAAACAAAATTAATAGTGCTACTGGAACTTTTACTATTATAAAATCCCATCGGAAAGCCAGAAAACCCCATTGGAAGCAAAAATTCGCAAAACTAGTAATTTCTAGGTTCCATAAGGCCATTTTCAAGATAAAGACTCCATATTTGAAATACCATTCAAACATTTTCTTTTTGAAATTAGCTGGGTATTGCCCATTTGTACCTTCAATAGATTTTAAACATTGCTCAGTTACAATTTTTTCATCCTCAACCATTTTAAATTATATTCTGAGAGAAAAATTACTACGTATCGCTACGTATCTGTTACGTAAAATATTATTATTATTATTATTATTATTATTATAGGAATAATCGACGGTGAAGTACGCCACAGTTCTACATAATAAATTTTTTGTGCTGTAATACAAACAAAAACAAAGTGCGTAAACATGTGAGTTAAGAATATTTGAAGTTCTCATTGTTTCATGAATATTAATTAAGAACATAATTATATTTTATCTGAGAACATAAAATTTGTAATTTATTTTCTTATAATAAGAACATTAAAATTTTTTCGAGAACCAAAAAAAAAAAAAAAAAATTTATTTGTTTTAAAAAGAACAAAAAAAAAAAAAAAATTCAATATTATTCACCGGATAAGCCCTCAGCGCTAGAGGCTATTGAGAATAGGTTAGCATGTATTATATGTAAATTCCATTTCCGACATTTTTAATTAGTGCAACGAAGTCGATTTAACGTTAACCACTATTTTCTTCTTTCACACGTCTGGTCGGCTATTTCTATTATAGGAGTTTGTACTAAGCGTAAGGGCACAAATAAAATAAAGTTACAGTATCTTCTAATTATAGTTGGATATTGGGGCTTTCAAAATTTATGATTCGACGATGAAATAATTAAGGTTTAATCAGTATTTATTTCGGATTGAGACATCTATGAATCTTATTTTCTTCAACAATGTTTATAAATTTCATACCTAGATGTTCCTATTTAGCTTTCTTAAAACCAATTTTAAGTTTTTTTACCCCCTACATTTTTTTTTTTTTTTTCTATTTTAAATTGAAAATTATCAGGTTTTAAATAGCTTTTAATTTTCTATAATAAAATACGCCGCAAGGCGCCCCTGTAAATAAAGGATTAAAGTTCAAAAAAAAAAAAAAAAAAAAAAAAAAAAAAAACAGGTTTTACAAATTGATTCAATTATTTTTAATTCTACGTATGAATTTCCTCGACAATTAAGGTTAATCTAATTTAGAGTTAGTGTTAGCTTTAGTGTTGGTGAAAAAAGTCGGGGAAATAATGAATCACTGGTTAGTAAAAATTAGCGCACTTTATAATGATATCGCAGTCATAACTCCGTAGCGGCGGTTGCAAGAGATGCAGTCATAACTCCATAGTGGCAGTTGCAACTTTTGCCGTAACAATTATGGTAATAACGTAAGTTACCCATGACGAGGTAATAACCTATGTCGGAGGTTGTAACCTATAACGCAGATTGCAACTTATGTTGTAAATTGTATTATTATGATTTTTACTATGCGTAGTTTATTAATTTTCGTTATGATATGTAGTTTATTGAATTAAGTGCAATTCTTTAAGATGTGCATAATATACTTTATATACTTTATAAATTAACATTTGAAATACTTTTAAAATAAAACTAACGATCGTAATATGCAAGCCGAAAATATGATTTATTTTCCTCCAAGGGTTTGATGGATCAATTTTAGTCGAACAACGAGATTATTAACATTAGAATTACCCGTAGTTACTGTTAGAAGATATATACTGTATTTATCTGTTATTATTCTAATTATCTGAAATTAATAATGCACATTCGAATATTATATAGAATTCGAAATTTATAGCTTGGAGTTGTTACGTATTCAAAAAAAATCTTACAGTAAGATAGCATAACTTTGATTTCACATGACTATTTTTCGATATGGCATTTTTAAGTTGCGACACAAGATGCAACATATAATTTTTGGCGTATGCCGTTAAGAATTACGTACAACTATATCGCAACAGCTTAGTAATATCATTGCCGTTTATGATACCAAGCCAGCACCTCTAATCGCATGATAAAAAAAAAAAAAAAAATACGATGGAGAAAAGAGTGACAATAAATAACGAAAGAAAATTCAAACACAATTTCTTAATATGCCTTTAATGTTGTCCGTATAATAAATGAGAATAAAACATATTGAGTTTAAACATTGAAGCTATATAAAATCTTGGATTGATACGTGCATGAAAAATGAATACGCATGAATGCGCATGCATGAAACCGCATGACACAACTCTAGCAAAAATTTGTCTCGTTTACTACGTAGTGAATACCTTGTATAGTAGAGACTAAATACTCAACGATATTTGATTACGTAGTCAAGTTAGTCAATGAGATTCAATATTTAGATATATATCGTGAAAATTTGCTACATATGATATTAAATTATTTTTATTAATAAGTAAATATATTACTGCGCATTAAGTAAACTCGTTCAATACAATTTACGTTTTTTAAAAATTTCATAAAATTTAAAAATAATTTATTGCAAAGGTTTAAAACAAAGTTATCAATTTTCTTTAATTTTATAAAACTTTAGAATT